GAGAGAGAGAGAGGAGCCGAGCCACCGAACGCGCGTCTCGGCAGCCTCGCCTAAGTTATGCAGATTGTTCTGAACAGTTGGACTTTAATGCCGGCATAAATCCTTTGCCACTTAACTTTATACGTGGAGAGTAGAATATGTTCCCGCCCTCTCGGCGCGTAGTTGGACTCCTCTCTTCTACCCTCTCTCGCTTGCGCTCTCCTCGACTCGTCTTCTCGCGTCTTCTTTTTATTCTAAATACCGAATTCTTTTGGTAAATTTTAATTTAACTTCGAAATATAAAATATGTCAGCTTATACATGAAAGTATCAATCTAGATTTGACTGTGCCTACATACAGTACTCGTATATGTTTTATTTACAAATAATTTAAAAATTACGTGTAATCAGATGGATAATCAGGAATAATTTAATTTTATATATTCTTTAATATTGATTGTCATAATTTTGCTTGTTATAATTTTGCCATCTTATCATTTTATTTGATTTTTAATCATGTATTCATATATATATATATATATATAGAGCCGCGCTCGGGCTGACTTGAGGAGAGATAATAAATCAAATAATTTCAATAGTATTAACAATATGTATAATACCATAATAGTAGGATGCGGCAATACAATAGATTAAAAATGCACATTAATTATTCATTCAATTTTACTTCTCTCCTCGCGATGCACTTTGGCATGCAGCCCCCGCTACATCTCTTCCTCTCGTCGCACGTGGGCGACCTTGAGAGGAGAGCGAACCCATCATAAAACCCGTTGAATTTCGAGGGGGGATAGACATTTGCAAGCCAACGACCAGGATGAAACTCGAGCTATCGCGAGTGAAACCCGAGCTTCTATTTGCCAATAGGATAGATAACGCGATGCTACTGTCGCGTCAACAGTCCTAACAAGCAGTCTTTTCCACATTGTGGCGCAACGTAACCGCCTTTGATCGCAGATAGAACTACCGAGTGACGAGTATAATTCGCGTTGCTAAAGTGGAAATAACAGTTCCTGCGATTACGGCATCATTTTGCATTTTCTGACTCGTGAATGGATATTGCTTGATACTTGATACCACTAAGTGCCCTAAGAAATTCGCACATGTAATGAAATTTGATAAGCCGAAAAGAACTGATGTTATTTAATCAATCGACAAAGTAACAATTTAATAATTGCAGCGTTGGCACCAATGAAGTAAAAACTATTGTACAGTCGATATAAATATTTCAACAATTAGCTTAAATATAATACATTATTAATTAATTATAATTTATTATTATAAATATTTTATAAATATTTGTACTCAAGTGTATAGTTATCATCTGTTAATAAAAATGAAAGAAGATAGAATTTCAGACAATTATTTAATATTATTGCTGCGTATAAATTCAAAATTTAGGAAATATCTAAATAATAATAAATTATATATAATTAATATTCTACTATCAACACCGATTTAGATATGTGTTAAAAATAATCCGTAACAATTAATATGCTCTTTATAATTATTCCTAGATTTATTTAAAAATCAAACAAAAGTTAATTTAAATTTAAAAAGCTAATCATCTTCAGCAGTGTTGCGGTATTTTGAAAGCTAATCATGAAGATAATGAACTTTCATTAAATGTATATAATGTTAATATAACCAAAATTTTGCTAGATCGTACCATTTTGAATAAAGTTCTACTGTTCATATCGTTTGCAAAACATTTTTTGCGACTTTTCTTTTATATATTTTTTTCACCGTCTCTGCCGCGTCCAGCTGATCGCGCCGACCACTCCTGAACAGATGGCGAGCTGGTTCTCCCTTCCGTGACATACAAATATGGCGACGTGCACCTTCGGCGGGAAACACGCTACTCAGATAACATGTCTGTGTATTGTACTGTGCACGGCAGTTCGTCATCGTCGATCAACTTGTGTGGCCAGGACGGGCATTTCACGAGGAGTTTTAGTGTCACATGAAGAATATAACGAAGGATATAAGAAACGACATAAAGGTGCTTGACAAATAACCTCAAGGAATTACTTGAGTATTGCCTACATAAATCAATTAAGTAAAGCAGTAAAGCGAGCTTAGTTGTCATCGGAATAATTATTGTAGGTACTATTTATGATATTCGGATTTCGCAATAAGTCACTATAGTAGTCGGTATGAAAGTTGATTTAATACGTGGATTGTCTAATTGATTAGTAGTGCTTTGAAAAATCGCTTGGTTTCGTCCACCACGTGGCTTTTATCGCAATATAAAATTGAAATTAGTTGTCTGTAGCGCAATTAACTCACATTAGGAATAACGTGTTGTTTCAGCAAGAAGCAGCTACGTCGACATCATGGAAATGATATCGACAAGGAAACTCTACAACAATCCATTTACGATCTCCATAGAAGGAAATATCGGAAGTGGTAAAACAACATTTCTGAATCACTTTCAGAATTTTAATGCCACAATCTTGCAAGAACCGGTGGACTTATGGAGAAATGTAGCTGGAGTAAATTTATTAGTAAGTCTTTTAGAGATAACATATCTGTGAGACAGTGCATAAAGGGTATTGAAATAGGCTACGTTTTTTCTAGTAATATCTTTATCATAGTGATATTAATATCCAATAAGGG